ATTCATAACCACAAAGCAGCCTGAAATGACTTTACTTCTTTTTACAACTTGCAAGGAGTTAATGGACTGTGCTGGCTCCCTGCCAAAACCCTTAAGAAACTTTATTAATGTGTTATGAGGCTGGGACACCATAGTGCAGGATTTTATTGGTTATTCCTTTTAATGAATAAAAATATGGATGCACAATTAAAACCATGTTTTCAACCAATTGCCTTCTAATAAATGTTAAGTCTTTGACAATGATATTTTTTAATGTTCACTAATGAAGTTTTTGTTTCTCTCTTTTCATAATCTATAACTTTACAGGGCAAGAATATTAAATTTGCATTGTGGGCATTCCTTTCAGCACAGACCCTTCTACTAGCTTGCAGAATATTCTTTTCTGATGCAGAAAAAGGAGCATTGAAAGCTTCTTGTTGGACACTACTTTGTTACTCTGTCCCTATAAATGAGTTATCTCAAATGATGAAGAGAAATACTATATTGGAGTATATTGGTCTGGAGCTGCAGGCAGCTGGTATATATGGTACAAGACGTACAAAGAACTAATGTAATGTAGCTTGCTTCAAAATTAATGACAGAAGCCAGCTGCTGATAGTCATATGATGTGTTATTTTGCAAAGCTTTCTTCTCAACAGGCAATGGAATTAGTTTCTGTTACACATAAACACTTTCTAAAATTCAGAATTCACTCAATGAAGTAGATGAAAGTTGTGACAAATTTTAATGCCCGAGAACAAGAACAAGAATGTTTCATTACGTAAAGACATGTGAATGTGTTTCTAAAGGAAGGCGGTTTCCTTATTTTTCATTTCATTATTCAAACATAAATAAATGTTCCCTTACTGCCATTGTTCACTGACAAGCATCAACATTTGCAGCACCCTGTGTGCATTTTTCAGATAAACTAATGCTGACTTTTTATTTTTTTTTCCTAAGACTGATAAATAAGGAAAAAAACAACACCATAGCTTTAATTAAAGTATTGGTGGGAAATAAAAAAAAGAAATGTGGGAGTGAAATTCAGTAGGACCAAAAGGGAATGAAAAGATTCTAGTGAATCAAAAATTTTAAATAAAAATGCCTCACTCTGTTTAACTAGTTTAATACAAAAACAGATGTTGAGAATGGTTAAGTTTGCATAGAAATTTCCATTCTGTTTTCATACTTGTCACTTGGATTTGAAATTTTCAAAGCTTGCTCTATTAGAAAGCGGTTGTGCTTTGCACATAATTTGAGCAGAAAAAAAATCACAAGTATTTGTATGTTTTTAGGAAAGACCATATATATGTATATATATATATATATATATATATATAAGGAAGAGCCTTGGTGTAAAAAAAAAAAAAAAATCCATCTTGTGACCTTCATTCATAGTATTTTCTTGGAAAAATACCCAAAGGTAGAAAGACCAGCATTTGCTGGGAAAATGAACCTTGCTGAAGAACGCAGGAGTGAATTATTGTAGCTTTGGTGAGGGTGTGCGTGATATTTTTCTAGGAATGGCGCTTCAGGATCCCGGTTGGAGTTCTCACTAATTCATTCCTTCCTTCAACATCAGTGGAAGTTGGAAAAGACTTGCAGGACTGCCTGCAGTGTATAGACCTGATGCAATTTAGGAAGTTCACTAACATCTGTAGTTAGCAAACAAAATTCATATGGAGGTGCTTCATTCAGTAGATAACCTCCAGTGAAGATTATTTCATGAATACATTTTCCAAACCAAATGGAAGCATCTTTATGCTAACAGAGGCTCTACTTGCAAACTAAATCATTTCACACTTATATATAAGCACAGGTGTTGGATGTGTAGCCTCAATTTAGGTTCTTTCTAAGATTGTTTGAAATCATCAGTGCAAAAGTATCAAGACATAAGCCTCCTTTGGTGAAGAACATGAGTAAAGGACCACAAGAAGGGTCCAGAGAGCTAAGAATTAATTATATTCCCTACACTGATTATTGTGTCTTGACTTTTGAGCATCTAAGTTATCCACACACCCCTTTTGTATACTTTTAAGTGAGATAGAATAGAGATCTTCAGGAGTAAAAATGAACAAAACATTGACGCAAAAAGAATTAATTTATGGTAACTTTTGTCTCCTCATTTTCCAGACTCAAGTACTTATTTCAGTGTTCTCTTTCGACAGATTCATATGGAATTTAGAGCTAGACATTAGCTAAGGAATGCAAAGTAAGAGGGGACCTTGATCACAAAATTTCATTTAAGTCAAAGCATCTGTAGTGATGCTTCTGAGAGAAGAAATTCTTTGATTTTTTCTGTCTTGTTAATTCTTAGTAAAATAAAGTGAACATATGCCAACAGTAACTGTCAATAAATAATAATAAAAAAATATTATGCCTAAATTTCTCTTTCCTTTGAACATTCCAGAAAGTCAAGTGTCGTTGACAGCGGAAATGTGAGCAACTAATAGGAGTCTTTTCTACTGAAGTAGAATTGCTAACATATAGAGGCATTTCCTGCAGCATTAAAATTACAGCATGAATATTGTAGAATTTTTTAATATGATAAACAAAATTTCAGAGTCCTTTGAATCCTGGAAGTTAAAATTTGTTCTCTTTGTGTTTAGCATAAGCTCTCTTGGCAGTAGTAAGCAGAACCTGGGGACTGGGGATAGAAACTCATTTTTTTTAATTGCTTACAGCAGAAAAAATGCTGTGTTTCATGTTAATATACAGAAAGTATTGTCCTTGCTTGCAGTCCTGGTAACAGAGCAGACAAAGTGAGACTCTGGAATTTGAACTTGAGAAGATTGTTCTTCTGGTTTTTTTTTTTTTTTTTTTTTTTTTTTCCTTAATAAATAAACAGAAATGTGTACTTGATCCTTAAAATATTTCTTCCAGTCTAATTAGGTAAAAATGGAAAGGGATTTTGTGGGTATCTGGTAGATTAAGTACTTGCTGTGGGGGGAAATGTCCTGTGTTTGTTGTGTGTTGCAACTGAAAATGCCACGTTAAATGAGATATGAGGAGAAATGAACAGATACTCATTCTTAAAATGTATACATGACATTCATGAATGAAACATTCTCTGTGGAGGAGCAGATCAGATAATTTTACAAGTAGAATATTTTGCATGGGGGATATTTAACATGGCAGATGCTTCGGAAAATGCAAATGGCAGAGAGGATGCCGCTGTGCATATCTGGTTGATTGAGTTTCAAGCATAACTGCTTGCTAGATGTATTTTGTCTTTTTTTTTTTTTTTCTTTTTTCTTCTTCTTAGAGGGAAGTTTAAAGGTGTACTTATTAAATATTAATAGAAGAGAAGCCAATTGAAATTGCATGCCAATGTAGTCCTTATGCTCTTTGGAACCTTAACCCCAGCTCACTGGTACTTACAAGGACATCAGCATTACATAGCCGTGTGACTTTGATCCCGATTACTAATTAAACAGAGGGTGAAAGTCCCTAATTTCAGGAGCCTACTGAGAGGGCAGAACTATCACAGTAAATGTCCTTTGTATTCATGAGGACAGAGATTTGCTCAATAGAGTAAAACAGCTTAGAAATAACAGTTTTATAAATAACAAGTTGATCTTGATTTGAAGTCTTCTGAGGCAGCAGTACAGCCATAGATAAGTTGCTCATGGTCAGCTGACTAGCATCTCTTTAAAAAATTCACACATCATTATGTAATGTCTGGGAGTTTCAGAACAGCCGATAGACAGGAAGAGCACCCAAAAAGGCAAACTGCATATTCACATGGTATCTGTGGGTTTCTGATTCTTGTACTAATGGACTATCTTCAGAGGACCCATTTTTTTCTTGTTTTTTTTTTTTTTTTTTTTTTTTTAAATTGTAACATGTGATAAAATCCCTGTAGTTTTATAGCCTTTCAAAGAAAATTCAGAGGAAAGATTATAATATAATCAAGTATCAAATATGTCGTTTCCTAAACTGCCAGGTAAAACATGCTTGAGGAACCACTGAGTAAGCAATAATAATGCAGTCTTGGCTGAGGCTTGAAATGTCTCTGCATCAAAGCTGGCTATGATTACAGCACAGAAAGCAGGCCCAAGAAATCTCTGGATTGTATTTGATGTGAAGATGAACACTCTCCCAGCTTTGTTATTCAGGCCCTACACGGAAGAGGTAAGCTTTCCTAGTCCTTGGCAGGAGTAGGACAGTTGACGAGATCCTGACCAAATTCAGTATAAAGTGCCTGGCATAGTAGAGACTCGAGAAATGTGGAATGTTTTTGTACCTTGTAGCTGGTTGCTTGGAAAGGAGATTTGCTTTAAAAGCAGGCAGATGCATTCAGTGCAAAGAATGTCTCAGGTGCTTGGGACTCTGCTAGTGCCTTGTGACAGAGTGCAGAAGAGCAAAGGTCTCAGCATGTGTGCTGCTGGCACAGAAGAGTGTTATGATCTAAGCATAATTTAAAACAATAAAATTGCACTTCCCTTCAGGAAGCCCGTCCTCCCCACTCTTTCCCAGTGGTGGGATGCTGCCGGCAGCCAGCCTGCCTTCCCACTGCTGCCCTGTTTCAGTGTTCTGGGAATGTGGCATCACAGACCTGTGCAGGCAGGTCCTGTGCATGGGGGGAAATCAAGCTCTCTGCCTCATCTGAGACAATCAGATGGTTTTTAAACCAGCTTTGGCTTTTGCCCTTCGCACAGGACGACACTAGGTCGACGACATTTCAGGATAACTGTTTGGCAGCCATTTTAGATACTGCCTGTGCTGAGAGCTCTCTGGCTGCCAAAAATTGCAGATGCTCTGTGCCAAAACACTCTTGGCAGTAGAGATAAACTTTGTAGAGATACACAGTCCAGAAATATCTTATAATTACAAAGCGCAGGGGGCAGAATGTTTTTACAATACAGCTGTGCTAATGTAAACATTTAATTTGGCAGCCTTCTCCTCCCACTTTTCAATTAACCGGGTTTATGCAGATACTTTAGGTCTGTAATAAACTTTATTGCTACTTCTCTTGGAGTACACTTTATGAAACACAGATTTGAAGTATTTTGGGGGCTTTCTATCCATTTTGTAAGGCACACTGAAAATGTTAGACAGTCATAAAGGGGAAGTGTCAATTCCTGTTTTAAAATGCCTTAGCTCTGGCTTCACTAAAAGCCTTCACTTTAAAAGTATATATTAATTGAGGCCTGTCTCCATTGGTTTCTCCAGAAGCAAGTAACAGGATATTAATAGAAAGAAATTAAATCACTTAAAGACCTACAAAAGGACGTTTGTGTTGGTGATAATTGGAAAAGACAAATGTTCCCAGTGTTACAAGAATGGTGTTACAGAGAACAGCTCTGAACAGCAATTCTTACAAATGGCATTGCAGTGACTGTGTGATAGCTGTGACAATTATCCTTACAGAGTCAAAGAAAAACAGTTTCCTATCATGAGCATTATTCACCCTCAGTCATGCAAAACCAGCCAAAGATCTTTTACTACAAATTTGAGAGCGCTGGATGTTACAGGATTTCATAATGAGCTAATTGGTTATATGAAACTGATGTTTTATAATATAAGAAGACATATTAGGTAATACCTTTCTGCTCAATATCAAATACATTGGCGCAACTCTTTGTAATTCCTTTTCCACTTTGCGGGAATGAACAACTTCAGTGTGACTTTGAAAGGCAGAAATGCTGAGTCCTTCCTAGCAGTCAGGATCTCCTGCTTCTGTGATGGATTGACATAGGCTGGCGTGGAAGGCTTCGGGGTCTAGGCAAAACAGTGTTAGCAGAGTAACATACTTAGATTAGCATATTCTCCAGGGTTGACAGATTCATGTTTCAAAGGATCAGTTCAACTTGGACAAGCTGAGGAATATAAAACTGTATTGTTTTGGAAGTGTTCTGAGACTGCTTTAGTCATGAAACTTGGACTAGCATCCAAGAAGCTGCAATCTTGTGTGTTTTCATTTTGGCGTTTGTATCTCCAGGCCAAGCTACTCGCTGGCGTTGATAATTACACAGTAGCAGCAGCAGAAAACTGTTGGTTGCCCCGCTGCAGCATAGAAGATGATGGTCTCTGCCCCACTGAGTGTTTAGCTTGGGCTGGCACACCTGTAGGGTAAAGAAGTGGTAAGATGAGGCAGGCTGATGACCAGTATAAAGAGTACCAAAGTGCCATCACTTGTTTGTTCAGTCAAAGTGCAGAAACAGGCTGGGAGCCAAATGAGGGAAGGGGAGATAGGGAAATAGATACAAATAACTGTGTCCATGAGCACTACAGAAGGCATAAGCTATTAAGAGGTTTTTAAGGGGTTGTATTACGACCCAAAAGCAAGCAAATAAATTGACTACTAGAATTGTAATGTATTTCAGAAAGTTTGATTCTAAATTTGAGTGAAAGGCCATTAAAAAACTTTTCCAATTTGTTTACCCATTCCTATTTTTCATTTAATTGAATCCATTTTAAGTGCCCTGTTAAATAAATGTATAGTCCCTCTCTCTCTCTCTTTTTTTTTTTTTCATATTAGATATAAAAAAGTGTTATTAGATTAGTTAGTACCACAGTGTAGCAGAAAAGCTTAATTGCAATGTTTGAAAACTAATTGAGGAAAGTCAGCAAATGCAGATGCCAAACTGCTAATGCGGTAAGCTGAAGTCTAGTGGATAATTTTCCAAAATTCAGAGCACAGTTGATCAGAGTTGTCGCTGTAACTGGGATACAGGTACAGCAAGTACAAGCAGTGTACAAATACAAGCAGGGAACAGAAGGGATTTTAGGACCAAAATGGCTACTTCATAAGCTTAAAAATTTGTCTTGCTGGTGACTGGTAATTTTGAAAGTATCTCAATAGCAAATCCTTACCTTCTCCTTCATTTGGCCACAGAAGTTTGTGAGAATGCTGACTGCTATCCACAGCAGTATTATCATTTAAAAAATGGGTGCATTATACTTCCTTTACACTTCTTAAAATAAAACATATTGTCAAAATAGTAAAAGCTTGAACACAGACACGAACAATCTGAAAAGAAGAAATAATAAGTGTTTCTACACCTATAAAGAGAGTATCAGTCACCTTTGATGACCCCAACTTCATGGATAATTGAGAAATAAAGATTTGGATAAACATCAAGATCATGGGTGACGTTTAGAAAGAAAAGAACTATTTTTTTTTTTCTCTATCTATAAGCCTCATAAAAAGCTAGGCTTAGCACAAGCCAGTTTGCTACCTCTCTGGGAGAGAAAGGTTCCCTTGAAGTTGGTGGTGGTCTACTGTGTGTGTAAGTCAATCTCTAGGTCCTCTGGGAGGATAGGTATTCCTGGGGAACAGATTAGCATACACAATGCTTAGCCAAGGCCACTTTGAAACTTGTGGTCCAGGTTAAGCGTAAGGAGCATAGACTAACTAATGGATAGAATATTTGTGTTGTTCCAGGAGTTCTCACATCTGCATTTGTGGCCACGAGTGCCACTGCTGCACTGCCCTGCCACAGGCAGCAGCCTGCATGTGAGCTACCTGCTCCTGCACCTGGGATGCAACCATATCCCCAGCAAAGCCTGGAAGAGTTCCCTCCATTTAGGGTTTGGGAGGACACAGAGGCAGCTAATGGACACCTTTACTATATACCCTTCTCTTCCTTCTCAGGGATCCCATGCTCTGGGATTATCTTAGAGGATATTTTAGAAAGATGCTGAAAGCCCATCCAAGTATAGTGCCAGCAAGATTTTAAACTGCCAGTCCTTACAAGGTAGTAGCAATGCTGTGACAATTATTTAGGAAACACATAGAGACAAATGAATTATTCCCCTGTGCAGCAGAAGACAGTATAAATAGATTAGGTTCTGGCATAGTACTCCTAGTTTATCAGGCATTTAGTGTTTAAGATGTAGAATACAGCCATATGTGACTTGCCAACTATCTGGGCTTTCCCCACTGTTTCTGGTTTGGCAACGATGTGGTTTTTCACCCTGTTGCAATACTGACTGCCAAGGAGACATGGCCAGCTTTCTGCTTCCTGTCTTCCTTTTTGTCCTGGCTTGGCCTTCACTGGGCCTGCCAAGTCACAGATGCCAGAAGCTTATACAAAAAGGTCAAGCAACTAAAGCTTGAAATCACCTATGCCAACATTTGTGTTTTCTCTCTATTTTTCTGTGTTCAGCTAAATGAAAAGTACACAGAACTTATCTGCAACAGGAATATGGAGAAAACTTTCGACAATAGAAGTGTATAGATTACAATTTTGCAAACTGCTCACAGAGTCTGTGAACACTGACCATTTTAAGAGGAATTCTGAGTAAACCTCAGTGAAATATGAAGTGCTAAAAATATAGAATAATCATTCTGATTTTGTAGATTTTCTCTCTCTCCTTCCCCACCTACCCTTCTTATTTGCTCATGCACTTATTTGGGAGTCAGGTTCCCGTGGAGGTTAGTAGTACATGTCTTTGCAGTCAGACCTGCAACTACTTTACTTTTTGAGACCTCCTCTCTCCCCCTCCCCCCCACCCCCAAAACAACCATTTCCTGCCCACCAACCAAAAAACAGTAGGTTAATGTAATAGATAATACTGGGAAATTCTAACAGTAAATACATACCTGTTGAGAACCTAAACTTCACCAGCACTTCACCAGCACGTGTCTAAAATATCCTGAACTGTTTCATGCATTATCCACAAACCTAGCCTATTCATTTTAGTTCATCACTTTTCACCACATTTGGAGAAAAGCAAGCCCACTACTTCTATTTCTGTGATGCCTCTTTTCACAACTATGATATTCACCTAATGTGTTAATTTCTTGTTTTCTGACTAAGTGCTCAGGTTGATAATAGTAGCCATAAATGCAGGATGACTGTTGGCCATGAGTTATAAAATTGTAAAACTGCTTGATTGTAAGGGGAGCATTCTGCTCAGATGATTCATCAAAGCCCAGGCTGCAAAGCACAGTTTTGTATTTCAGTCAATCTTCAAACAAGACTATTCTCTTTATTCTTCATCTGCACGGCCTCTCCCATACCTTGAACACCTTTAAAGAGAGGGTGTTTCTTTAAAGTAACAGCAACAAGCAAGAGGAAGAGAAGAGTTATTCTAGCAACAGACCCCATTCATAGTAGCAAACGTTTGTTTGTCTCTTAGATAAGGAAGAAATCAGTTCTTAGGGAATTTATTTTGTTTAACGAGATACACTTTAATGGACATAGAGAAAACTGCAACGCTGAAGAATATTCCCACGCATATGGTGGTAGCAGGATAAATTTAAGAGAGAATGCAAAGAGATGGGAGGGAAATAAACTGATTACTCACTGTGGGATTTTTTTTTTTTTTTTAATTATTCATACAGGTGGTAGAAAGTTGTCTTTCAGTAAATCTTTAACAATTTCATATACAGTTTTATACCTAAAGTTAATTATAGACTTAGACCTTGGGTAAAAGGACTGCCAAGGTCACCCACAGAATAACAGTGAGCTTCCTAGAGTCAAACATTGCTTATGAACAGCCACCTCCAATTCCACACACAAATAGTCACATATTCTGAATTCATTGCATACCAGGCAGTAATTTACTCACGTATGTGGCCCCCAACCTTAAAAATGCAATCGAAGAAATCTCTGTAAGTTTGTATGGGATTACTACTGTCACCTGCATTTTCTGAAGGTGGTTTGTCTCTTTCTGTCCTTCCAGCTTTACTGTTGTGATTTACATACTGCTAAGTATATGCAATCCCTAAGCAGAGATCTGTAGGAGAAGTGAAGGAGTTGAGCAGTAATACATCTTTAGTGAATGTTCTGGATGTTCTTTTGTGCCAGGGTGAGGTTAGTTAATTTCTCAGGTACCTAAAAATGAAACCTGACTGCAGTGTTTTCACACAGCTTTGTTTTGCAGAATATGTCAACTCATGGGAATTTCTGATATTAACAGGCTGATCTTGATTGATAACACTGATTATGCGACCTTAAAATTGACTGATCTGTCCTTCAGAGGAGAAGACTACTACCTTTTGCATGTGTTTAAGAAAAATAAATTCATTCACTTTCCCTGTTTTTTTTTTTTGTTAGCGGGGAGAGAAAGCAGAAGCTGTTAAAATCAGTATTTAGTCTCTGAAATAATTCAGTTCTTTCTCAACTGACACAAGCTTCATTCATACAGATTACAAGATAGTAAGGAATTCATCATTTGAGCTAGAAATGTAACTTGGCTTTCTAATGATTTAAACCATTTCAGTGCCAGTCATGAGTCTGCAAATGATGTCAAGAAAGTGTACTTGAGCAGTCTGCAAGAGCCCTTGAATGAAATAATGAAATCTAGCAAGAAATATTTTTTTTAAGATGTAGTTCAGACATGTGAATTTACCATGGTTCTCTCCAACCAATCTCATGAAAAAATATAATCCAGATAATTTGCCTCAAAACCATACTTCTTGTTATGCCCCATTATAAATGCTCTTCTTTTCAATGTTTCATTAATACAGGTTATTTCCTAATATATCATTTTTATTGTACACATTTATTTTAGTCTTTGTTTTTAAATTTTAATTACAACAGCATGCTAATTAATTTTTTTTTTTTTTTATTTGGTGGTTATTAAAAATAACTTCTACTAGTATATTTAGGAGGGCAGCTATGTTCCGTTCCTTCTTTTTTATTTTCTTTGTTTCTCATGTATGCTTTTGCTCAAATTTCCTCATGTAATTGCTTATCATCTATGGGGGCTTCATGGCCTAACTTGAATTAGGTTGTGGCATCTAGTTTTGGATGGTATAGTGAGAGTTGTGTAAATCCCAAAACTTGCTGTGATTCAGCCTACTCATCTTTCCTATGGGAAGGAGTAGCTTTGCAAGCTTGACAGTCTTCCTAGACTCGTATTTTCGGTGCTGTCTTCTCCATACAGATACATACTGTCTAAGACAGTGTGGTGACCTGGAGACTAAAGTTTGTATAAAGCTTTAACTTTACTCTTATTCTCATGGCAATCTGTCTTCATGTGCTGTTTACATCTCCCAAATGCTTACATCATGCTGTTATCAATAGCTGTGCATATGGAAGTGATTTGATTGTTCATTTAATTAACATAAAAAGAGGCACACAGTGATGCTGGAGTTTCCCGGGGGGACATAGGGTTTTAAACTTGTAGCTGACAAACTGGCTTGATGTGGAGTGTGTTTTAACTTTGCTACACAAACCTTTTGAGCAATTGTTTATGTAGGACAGCTAATGCCAGACTCACTTTCGAAAACTTGGCCAGAAAACTCGTTGGCATCGTCTTGCTTTCCGGTGGTTGCTTGCTGCTGGTGGAGCTCTGCTGCCAACCCTGGCATTGCTGTCCCTGCTGCCAGCCGGTTACACACCCTCGCCAGCAGGCCCCGTGCTTAGCTCCTGCCTGGGGAAGCTCACTGCTGCCAGTGGAAAAGAAAGGCATCATGTGAAAAAATGTCTGTGTGCAGAAAATGTGTGCACTGCTGTGAGACGGCTTCAGTTTGGAGGAGGTCTGAAAAAAGCCGGAGGCAGGCTAAAGAGCTGGTCTCTTGACTTAAGTGCATCCCGGGATCTGTTTGTTTTTGGTTTTGGTTTTCTTGGTTTGTTTTCTGCAAGAGCAAGGTGTGACTAGTGGGCTTTCTGGAAGGCTTGCCTGTCAGTCACACCCACTGGGTGGAGAAACACAGCCCTAGGCCAAGGTGAATTTCATGAGAGAGTTGGATTTTCTCATGTTCTTGCTGTTACTGATATCATACTGCTGTCCTGAAAAGACTCTATTGTTATTCATGCTTCACTTTTAAGTAGACATTAAAGGGATACTGTTTGTTATTCAGATGTACAGTATCTCCTGGAAAACTGCATGAAAACGCATTAAAGCATTTTGGGGCTTAGGAGATTTGCTTGCTATAACTGTTCATAAAGCTAAAGATGATTGTCTAACTAGGCAATTGGTCTAATTTGCGTTTCAATGCAAATTTCAGAAACCTGAGCTAAAGAAAGATAAGCTGCTCTGAATGAAGTCTAGTCTTGAAATTTCACACTTTTCCACATCCGTGGCTCAAAGAGCACAGACAGGTTGACTTTACAGTGCTCTGAAGTGTTCAGCAGCAACGTCAATGGCAGGAGTCTGGGTTTAAAAGGGAGCTGCAAGGATGTTTTCTTTCAAAGATCACAGGTTTCGTGTGCTTATACATGTGAGTGCAGGGCAGGGACAGCTGGAAGAGAGAAAAGTTAGGCAAAATTTGAGAAGCTTGCAGTTTTTCATTAAAGTGTTGTCATCTGCTAGAACTCACTCATAAAAGGGTCTTCTGTAATTACAGTGCATGCACCCACTCTTGTGTAATACACTGTGTCTCATCTGATTACTTCAGGTCAAGTGAGTTTAATACCTTTCTCCAGGAAAAATACAGAGCAGAGCTGTCAGTTTTTGCTGAGTACTACTTATGCTTGTGCAGAAGTCTGAGTGCTTGAATGTACATGCTGGGAAGATGCTGAATAGTATGTTGAACTTATTATATGAGTGCAGGAGGAGGAAGAATGGTTAGTAATGTTCCCAGACGAAGGTTAGTGTGAATATAAGGTTACTGCTTTTTGCTTTAAAGTTTCTAAAAATCTGAAAAGCTTCTGCGATCAGTGCTGTTGTGATTTGTTGTTGCTCATGTTTGTTGCTGTTCTTTCTGTAATGCACAAGAGACTTAACATATTTATCACATCAGACTTTCCCCTCAACAAAGCCCCAAACATTGATCATTTTGAGCACTGCTCTGAAAGCAATGCTTCCTGTTTTATGATGTTGGCCCATGAAGTCAGAGGTGGATGTTGGTGGTATGGCAGTTGAGTTTGAAACTTTTCACCTATGTTCTGTTATATTTTGTTGCAATGTGAGAGCAGCAGAGGGGCGATCTGACAGAATGGTGTCTGACGTGGAGGTGCTTATGAAGCAATGGTGTGTCATTGAGTTCCTCCTTGCAGAAAACATTGTACCCACTGACATCTGATTTTTTTTAGATAAGAAGTAGCATCATTTTTCAATTGTATAATATTCCCAGGTATTACAAGAACATACACCAGCTTTAGAAAATAAACTGAGATACAAAGAGCAAAAATAGCTGAATATGGAACCAGCAAGCATACTTTTAAATCAAGGTTCCCAAACTGCAGTTTGCATTGTACTAATTTTCGGAAATTCTACCTCTGTAGATGACTCTAATTAGAAACTAACATAAATAGATGTGCTGCCTTTTAACATATAGTGAAAATTACAGAATTATAAAGCAGATGCTCTCATGTGATTGTAGCCACAGAATTATCCTTGGAAAAAAAAATTTATTGTGAACAGATATGTTCAACCTTTTTTTAAAAATCTTTGGCCAACACGACTGAAGTGGCAGTACTACTGCTAATAGATAGGGAGCCTGTGGGAAAAAACAAACAAACAAATGAACACTGAAACTCTCTTTACAAATGTTTGGTTTTTTTTTTTTAACTTGAAAGACCAAGTTTAAGCCAATATGCCTTTTTTCTTTTTTATTGGCTTCATGCTTTAAAATAAATTGCTTGCCTTTTTATTGCAGAACTTCCCTCCTCCAACTCAAAACTGGGTCAGCCATGTCCATGCTTCTATGGCACAGGATGGACACAGTTTATGGACCACTACTATGAAAGTGTAGGGTGATTTTCTCTGGTGTTCTTGCACATAACTACTTAGTGCCCACTGGTAGATTTATTTTTTTTTTGTCACTGATTTTTAATAGCATGTGTGTGAGAGCGTGGACAGCACATCTTTTAACTCTGAATTTTTAAATTATGTCAGATGGAATTGAATCCACTTTTTAAA